CTCCCTGAGCATGGCCTTCATAAGTCCATTCCATCACATATACTAAGCTATGCTGTGGTTGATTTTCTAGTGATCAGAACTCAGATTGTGGAGAAAGAGTTCATTTTCCCACGCTCCTGTGGAGGGCTAAGGGAATGCTTATCTCCTCGAGCGCGGCCTTCATCCAACCATTCCTTCACACAGAGGACGCCAAAATTGTGCCCCAGTTCTGTCCAGGGAAGCGCAACCCCACTCAGAATTGAAGATGGAAAATCCATAATCCCAGAAGAACCAAGAATACACAGCCCCTTGGCTTTGTCAGGGATGAATTTAAGCCGGTTTTTCCCCATCCAGACCTTAACAGCCTTCAGGCACTGGGAGAAGACCTCAAGAACCTCACTGTAGTCAATAATATACGAAAGATCAAGTTGCACATTAAAAATAAAAAACTGATCGAGAATTAAATTCTGACAATTCAAGGCAAGGACGTCTCTGTCTTTCTTAGGAACCAAACAGAAGCTGGATTCACACAACAAGCTAAACCCAGATAAGCAAAACACAATTGCTGTATTGACATAAACGCGGGAAACCACCAACTGGCCAGAACCTCGCAATTCAGCGCTGCCAGCTCGCTTGCTCGTTTCTGCCATTACAGTAGAAGGGGGGGAAGGAGGAATGGTATGTGAAACCATTAAGCGCAGATGGACTGTTATCTGGCTCCCAGGACAGCCAAGGTCGTACCAACCTGAGAACGTGCAGAAGAGATTCAAAGAGAGAAGGGGCGCGGGTGAAACAGGAGTGTAGTAAAATTAAGTTTTGGCGCGCGTGGGACTCAGTTCCAGCTATGCATTAGAGCTGTAGACTTCTTTCCAACAAATGAACTTTTCTTTGAACCTGCATTGGTTTCGATGGGCGTCGCTTTCGTTGGGAACGGAGTGCCGCGACTCTTACACAACCCGGCTGGAGTTTAACGAGATGACTTGCTTTACCCGACATGTTGGTAACGGCCGGGCTTCCTCTAAGATGCGAAGCCACAAACCCAACCCTTCTTTAGCCTAGCCAAATGGGAACTCGCTCTGATTCCGGATTTACCTTTCCTGAATTCTTACCATGGAAAGCTAAACAGAGAAAAAAAGCAGTTTCGAACAATTTAGATCAAAGAAAGAATTGGTAAACTATTACGGCCTGCTGGTTCGTTTGCAATCTTTCCCCATTTTTAAAATTATTTATCAGATTTAAATCCGCCGCCGCTCCCAGGGATTAACCACCGGCACATGGCCATCACCAAGCCATTCAAATCACCGTAGAATATAACAAAACACTCGTAATACAAATTACAAAGTACAAAATAAAGGAATATTAGCAACACTAAGGATAAACTGGGGGTGCCGTTTCATCACCAACAGGCTCTCTGAAAGCATATAATGTTTAAAAGCTTCTGGAAATTTAAAAACAAAAGAAAAAAAAAGTTAAAGCCGATTACCTTATAAAGGCCACTGATGAAAACGTGGTACTTCACATTATGCTCCAGTGACGCTGCTTCGATCCTGGTTTCCCAAAGCTGAAAGGGAAAGTGGAATATTGATGGGATTTCGGGAAGGGACATGGCCAGGAACTAGCTAAACAAATCTAACGTTAATTTTACTGTCTGCATGGCTGCGGACAATCCCTGTTATCCAAACCAGGGAAAATCAGTGCCCCCTAGTCCTACCTGGAGAGGCAAGATTAAATCGAGGACTTTCAAAGCATTTCCCATTACCTGGAAACGACATATTTACGACACGGAAACCTGAGAACCGGAGAACGGAAATGGATTCTCCGCGCCCTTATTACGGCCAAGAAATTAATTCTTCAGCGTTAGAAAGATAAATGTATGGCCCCTGTTACTCAGTGAGTGGAAGCCCTGACACGACGTGTTATGTCGCTGACCGATGTTAACGAACGCACGGATGATGACAATGAAATAAGGTCACCCTTTATTGAAATTGTTACATACAATTTCATCTATATCTATAAGGAGAAGCGGGTACAATTTACGCTGTTGTAACTACATTGCTTGCTTGCTTTTCTCTTTCGGTGATTCTTGTCATCATCTGCTCTATTAAATAAATAAAGCACATTTTCTTAACTGAGCTACCCAACCATAACAAGATAGAAACCGAACCGAAGATCCCTCCCGAAGGCCGATAAATATTTCAAAGGGCTGCCCCCCCCCTTTCTTTACCTTCCGCATGTCTCTCTTTTTTAGTAGCCTGGCCTTCGTGGCATAGACAAAGGCCCTCCGAACAGCCCGGTACGCCAAGCTGTAACAACGGTTCTTCCGTCCACGAAAATGCTGGAAAGGAGGACATAAGAAATAGGAAAACCAAGTTATTTCCAGTCCAAGAAGCCCCCCAACTCTCTCAAAACCCACCCTGCAGATGCTTGACGGTTAGGCAAAACTCAGCACAATTGCAGGTTGGCATCGTTGTGCCGAATCTGAAATCGCTCACCTGTTCCTTCAGCCTACCGATCAAGCATTGGCAGTCCGCTGAGAATGGGGGATTCTGGGAGCAGTAGTTTCAAACATCTGGCGGGGGGACTTAGGGAAGGCTGGCTGCCCACTGGGGAAAGGAGCGATCTGGGTTCCCAATTACTTAGAGTTTGCAAGAGCAGCAATAACAGAGCAAGGTCAATGCGGTACTAAGAGCCACCCTGTTACTACTAGGAGCAACAATTAGTACGTACTACTAGCAGTTCTTCAGTAAAGTTGCCCTTGAGCCGAGCTCAAGTCCTGCCCGAAGCCTTCGTCCGGGACGTTTCTCTGACGTCTCAATCTAGGCTCCAGCCCCGCCGTTTCCTAGTGGTCTCCCATCCCTGGCTACCAGGCCGGACGCTGCCCGGCTCCCGAGATCAGCGAGCCGCTGACCCCATCGGGGCTACCAGGACGGAAGGGAGACTGACGGGGTGGGCGGCGACCCCCTGGCCTTACCCGCGCATGCTTCAGGATCTGCTGCTTGCGCCAGAAGCGGTCGGTCAGCCGGCTGCGGAGCCAGAGCTGGCACGTGAGGAAGACCATGCCAGCGACCCCGAGCTTTGCAAAGGAGGCGGCGGAGAGAGCGGGCGGGCGGGGGCCGCCGGGCTGGGGGCTGCGGAGCCACGCGGCGCCGCTGCTTCCGCCTCCTGCGCCCGCCGGACCGCGCGGCAATGGCTGCAACGCGCCCGGGAGCAAAGAGGAAGCGCGCGCCGCCCGCAGCCCCGCACTTCCGGCGCTGGTGGGAACCGCCGCTTGGGTGGCCGTAGAGCGGGGGGGGAGGAGGAGGAGGAGGAGGAGACCCAACGCGGCGCCTTTAAATTCAGCTGCGGGGGGGGAATAGAGGGGTAAGGGGGGAGTTGCTTCTTCGCACAGGAGACCGGCCGTGCGAGCCCCTTCGTGTCCCTTTCCCGTTCATTTCAGTGGGAGTTGCCCCCCAAGAGGAATGCCACAACGCGGTGCAAAGGCAACGGCGATCCTTTGCGACGAGTCCCGCGGGAGTTTAAGGAGGGAAGCCAACCCAAGCTGGCGTTTCCCATTTTCCCCATCCCTCCCAACAGACAAAAGTGTTGGGCTGCCAACTGCCCCGCTGCCGGTCCTCGCAGGTGCAACCCCTAGCTGTCTCGGATCGGACCTCATTGGTCCTTGGATGGGAGACCACCAGGAAAGGCGAGGGCTGGAGGCTAGGCTGGGGAGTAGAAGAAACTTCCAGGAAGAAGGCAACTTCAGTCCTGTTGGGAAGAAAACTGCATGGGCGTGGGCATGCGGGAAGCTGGTTGGGACAGGCTTTGGCAGAGAGATCTGGAAGTAAATCCCATGGGGGTCCAACGAGAAACGAACAGTGTCCAAATGAGAAAATCAGACTAAAGGAAGTTTGTTTTTCCTTTTCATATTAGATTTGACCAACCTCATTTTTGTCTCTACGGGCATTATAAGTCATGCCTTTTCCTGGGAAGTCTTGGGTGCCCCCAATGTTGCAAACCAAACAGTCTCGATGCTTCTTGGGGCCATCCGAGGGCCTCATCCTGCCTTTCCCAGAAGCTCTCAACAGGGTGGGCATTCTTGCAGAAGGGGGCGATCTCTCCAGCTCCTGCAGAGAAAGCGATCAGCCCAGAATCCAGGGGGTGGGTGTTGAACTCCAACTCTCATTCTCCCCAGCCAGCGAAGGGTCGGCCTGATTGCATCAAAGGAGAAGGGGGACACAATGGGGCAGCCACTTCATCATCCTCCCATATGGGCTGATTTGAGCCAAACGTTCCCCAGAAGCAGAATCCTCTACCTTTTCCCTTGTTTGACTTGCCAATTTATAGGCCGTGGCAATGTTTCTCAACCTTGGAGACTTTAAGACATGGGGACTTCAACTCCCAGAATTCCCCAGCCAGCATGTCCACACGTCTTAAAGTTGCCAAGGTTGAGAAACACTGGTCTGTGGCAATCAAGTAACCTCAATCAGTGTTGGTAGTTATCCTCATACATATTTCTAAATCAAAGCTCAGGCTTCATCGAGGCTTTCGGATACCTGTCCTGTTGGTGCCCGCTCCATTTGGTGCCATTCCTTTCACTGCACAATTGCTTGGCAAAGTGGCAAAAAGAACCCAAAGAACATCTGTTCTACCCCCATCCTGGGCTCTTTCCCCAGTTCCAACTGTCTTAGATGCTGAGTGTATTTGCCATAATGAACCCACCTATGCACCCTACAAGTATTCCAAGAGCTGGGAACTCATCAGGAAACCCCTTTTAAGATTGGAAGGTCTGGGCAGGAGGCTATGGTGAGATGTAAAGAGGCATCACCCCAAATGCTCCTTTCATCACCTCCAGCAACCCAGGCCCACTGCCAAGAGAAATGCGAAAGAAATTCTCAAGCTCCCTGGGCATCAGGAGAAAAACAGAAGCCCTTTGCAGTGGCGAATTTGCTAGGCAGCTTTGACACAGCATGACATCGCCAGGCGGTTGAGCTAAAATCCTTTTGAAAAGGCTAATCTTTTAATATTAGACAGGAATGGTGAAGCCAAAGAGACAGACGCTACACTTGGGGACGCCCAGGGAGAGTGCAGCTAGAGAAAACTCTGGGCCCTGAACTCTCCAAGGCCAGCTCTTCTGCGGTCTCGTTCCACCAGGTCTTCTGGCTAAGATCTGCACCCTTTGCTAACAAAAGTTCCATTAGGGGAAAGGATTTTTTTTCTGCAGCCAAGTGCAAAGTGGTTTTGCCCAACCACCCAGCCGCGTTAACGTCCGCTCCGTGCTCCAAGAGACAGCTGGCAACCTCAGCGTGGCCACAAATGACTGCCCGGTGAAGTGGCGTGAGCTGGAGACCGTCTCTTTGATTAACGCTTGCAGTTGGGCTTTCTTTGACCAAAAGGCAGACAGCCAGCAGGCACCCCGCGCCTGCAGCCTTGTGGAGCGGGACGCAACCGTGGCAATCAGCTAAGTTTCGATCCGCTTGATTCTGCAGCAAGAGCTTCACGATCTGAAGGGGGAGAGAGGGAAAGCTTGAGAAAAAGACCATCAAGCAAAGTCTGGAGCAACGGAAGTCATGCCTCAGAGCTTTGCCCAAATTGAAGACTCCAACAGCCCAAGTTTTGTACTAAGGTTCACTTTGTTTCAAAAATTGTTTGAAACAATTTGATTTTTCAGATCTGGGCTTTCGATTCATTTGGAAAACCAGATGGATTAAGTGTGGAAGACCACACGTCTATACCCCTGCAGAAAAGCCTATCCAGTTGCTGCCTGGGACAGAAATGATTTCAAATCAACTCCGATTCAGTACTTGGGGGGACTAGAAATTCGAACACAATGATCAAATCGATCCAGGCCTCTGAGAATCAGATCTCTGAAGGGAATCTTTGCACAGCCCTATTTTGCAGACACCTTGTAATGGAAACAGAGCTCCTTAATGATGAGGGTTTCACGGAAAGGAAACCGCTGCTCTGCTACAGTCACAAGCAGAGGAGAACTTCTGACTGGGAAGTTGAACTGGTGTTTGGTCTGTTGACTCCCTTTTCTAAGCTGAAAAGTCCAGAAACGCCAGCAAAGCATTCCCCAACTATTTTTCTGCTTGTGATAAAAATTTAAAAAAAAAACAGCTTTCCTCATTCATGAACAAAAATCTAGTTTCAGTATAATAACTGTTAATTGTTATGATAAATGATAACACTGATATTAGCATAGGTATGATCTAAAAAGTAAGACCACCTCATGATGGCTGTTTTTAGAAGCGACAGAGAGCGCGGTCCTTCCCCAGTCATCTTGAAGATTCACGTTGGCCCCTTTCGCAAGCAAGAGACGTATCGTTTCGGGTTTCCCAATCTCGGCAGCTATGTGTAAAGGCGTGATACCCCCTTTACTTTGGAGGTTGGGGTTCACCCCTTGGGAAATCAGCCCGTTCATTATATGAAGCTGGTTGCCAGCTGTGGCCCAGTGCAAGGCGGTCCACTGGTTACAGTCGGTAGTGGTGGGATCTGTCCCATGGCATAAGAGCAGCTGCATCATCAAGGTGTGGCCGTTGGCGGCCGCGCAATGAAACGGGGTCAGGCCCCCTTTGGTTGACCCCGCCACTGGTGCCCCCCGAGCCAAGAGGAGATCTGCTACTTGGGTATGGCCGCTCCACGCAGCGTGGTGCAGAGGGGTGTAGCCGGCCCTGTCATCTGCGGGGATCGTTGCTCCACGCCGGATGAGAAACTTCACCAACGGGACGCAATTGTGCAAGGAAGCGACATGGAGGGGGGTCCACCCGTTTTCGTCTCTAAAAAGGGTCAATTAAAAAAAGAAAACTCAGATCTCAGACGGAAAGCAAGGCTACCTCACCAGGGGATGCTGGGAAGTGTAGTTCTAGATATGTGCATAGCTGGAGTTCGGTAACAGCCCAGTCTCTTTCCAAGCCAAGAGTGCGTGCCTTTCCATCAACGCTATGCCAAAACGCAGGTTGCAATTTCTCCAACATTTCCTCCCGCAGCAAAAGAGGTTTTTCTAATTTACTCTCAAGGAGCTGGAGCATTTCTTTCGTCTTTCTCTTGGGGCGTTTCTGAGCTAATTTGATGGTTTGAAGTGGTGAGGCGGAGCTCTCATTGGTGATCTTGCTTTCCCTTGACACCACTTACTGACATTCTCGGATTTTTCTAGCTCCCTGGCCGTGCAACCGGTCCCTAACCAGGAAAGTTTAGTTGAGAATCCAACTAAACAACTTGTACAAACCCAGAAGAGGGGTTAAGCCAGTAAGTATTTCAAGCCTGAATCAACACAATCTTTAGCTAATGTGACCTCTAGTCTCTCTTCAGCCATGGAGTTCGTTGAGGGAATTTGGGCCGCATTCAATCAATCTGCACTGCAGGGTTGTTGTGCTGGGGATAAAAAGAAGGAGACACTTCCAGATAAGCTGGTTGGTGCTCTCAAGAGGAAAAGTGGGATATAAATGCAATAATGATTTTTTTAAAAGATACAGCAGGAAACCCCCAGACCTCACCTGCTGTTTGTGGCTGCCCCTCGCTTCAACAGCTGCTTGACCAGCCGCAGGTCCCCATTCCTGGCTGCCTGGTGGAGCTCCCTCCACCCTGGTTGCTTGTCCTTTGGGAACAAACACTTTTCAGGACCCTTTGCAGCAAGTTCCAAGCCTTCCTCCTTCCGGGTTCCCTCTGCGGTTGTTTCCACCAGCACCATCCACTTTCTCACCAGCTCAGCCTGGGTTTTTGCATCTGTTGAATGGGAAAAACCTGATCGACATTAGACTCTGTGCGTCGACCAAAAACATGAGACGCGGAGAGAAAGATGGGAAGAAAGGAGGGTATCAGAAAGAAAAGGAAGGGGAGGCCCTGCCCACTTTGGGAAGCCTTGCCCACTCCTTGTATAAGTCCCGCCCACATGGGGCTTCATCCCCCGCCCCTTCTCAGCAAATTCCTTCTGAGGAAATGTGGCCCTTGAATGAAAACATCTGGCCATCCCCTCTGGCAGGAAAGACTGGCCTCTACTTGAAACACTGGTAAATAGCTGGTCATTTATCAATAACATTCTAATTCAATGCTTCCAAGCTGAGATTCTTGGCTTCATTCTAAAAGCATTATATATATATTTTAAGGGGTGAGACATTTTTATTTCTTACCAGTCATTTTTCTCCGCGGCTGCTGACTTTTTGCTATAACAAGATGCATCAACAATGGGTGGCCAAGGTGGGTTTACTCCTGTTAGTTGCTTCTTTTCAAGGGCTGCTGCAAAGTTTGGCAATCTTTTCTCCTCGATTTATTTCACCAGCCGGGATGCCTGTGCAACACGGTGTAGCCACTCTTGGCAGGCGAAGCAGAATTCCCAAAGCCGCTCTGCAAAGAAAGGGCACGGGGAAAGAAAGGGAACAGGCCATATTTCATCTGGACAATATTTGCTCCATAAATATCCAGCCAGTCCAGGAACGGAGCTGGCGAGCTGTGTCCGACAGATTGTTTGTTACAATCTATGCTTGAGCGTGCAAAGAACTGTTTATTTAATAACTAAGTGGACATAAGGAGGGAAGGGACACAGGTCTACGAATCATTGATTGGGTGTCACCTAGCCAGTTTGTCTCCCTTTTGTGTGTACACATAGACAACAGACACACTTACGGAAATGCTTTTTAAGCCTGGATAGGTTTGAAGCAGCCTGATGCTTGAGGAATATGGGGCTTGTAGTCCAACACAGGCACGGACTTCAGGTTTGGGAAGGCAGCTGTGAAAATAATATAGCAGTTGTTGGTGGTACACAGGCAGAGATCATCAAGTTATGCCTCCCAGGTGAAATCCAATGTTTAGGATTTGCAGAGGGGCGTAAAGTTCTCCAGCAGGACAGAGGAAGGGATCGGTTGTGTGTTTTGAAAAATCAGATCCCGTTTTTGCTCCTCAGCCCATCCGGACAGAAATGTTTGTGTTGCTTTTTTTTTTAAGGAAAAAAAAAACATTGAAAGATAAATTGAACCAAATCTTTACTCGTCTTTCCCCAAGTTAAGGGGAAGTGAAACACCCTTTGTGGGCACCCAGGTTGGATTCACGCCGGGCTGCTGGTTCCATTCGCAGCTTCTGAAAAAAACCTGGATGGGTAGCTTGGAGCCAAAAGGAGACTTAACCTTGGAAGCAGAAGAAAACAAATACAAGTGGGAGATTTAGTTACAGACAATCTGGCATGTTCCAACATGCCTTTCTTTTTCCTGAGGTTACATCTGTTATTCAATGACCTGTTTTGTTTTGTTAGTCATGACTGGAACTTCTTTAAAAAAAAAAAAAATTAGATGAATGTTACTTGTTAAAATAATGCAATCAAAGAAAAGAGCCTATGCTGAAGATTGATTGATTGATTGGATTCTTTAAACATTAAATGTTGTTAAAATAATGCAATCAAAGAAAAGAGTTTATACCGAATATTGATTGATTTGTTTAGATAATTACATAGTAAAATAGTGATCATACAGTGATTGTACTTGGCCCCAGAGTTTGAGCTGTGTCTAGAGATGCTGGGAGCAGACGGACTGATCATTAACTTTGCTTCTCTGCAGTGGTCTAGCCAGCTGGCCTTTGACACCTCAGTTACTCTGAATCATTATCCCTTCTTTGCAGAGCACAATTCAAGGAGCTCACAAGCAACACAATGCCTTTTGAAAAAGCATACAACAGTTTTCTGAACCCAAGCTCTTTACAATGTGAGAGGTAGGGCTTGCAAAACAGCCCAAAGAGACTAAGAGCAAGAATGAATCACGGGCACCAGAATTGCTTAGGGATCTGAAATCTGTGACTCTGCATTTAAGCTCTTTTGTTACGTTTGCGATGTGTGCCAAATATAGGCAGGGGGTGTTGTTCTTCTGGTCAGCCAGGGTCCTTTTTTAAACGTATATTTCTTTTTGTATATAAGCCGCTGTAATGGTCTGTGGGAATGATCTTGGGAGACAGGAGGAAGAGCCGTAGATGGGACAACTGGCATGTAAAAGGTGGCTCAGCCCACAGAAGGAAAAGGGGTGTGGGAAGTGTTTCAGAAGGGACCTTTCCTAGTTTTCTGGCGAGTAAAAGGAAAGGAGGGAAGAAATACTTTAAGTCTTATAAGATTCTGTTAATGTAACCTGACAATAAAGATAGAGTTAGTACTCCTGGTTGTGCTTCTTGTCTGGACAAGGGCTAACATCTGGGTAGAATCAGGCGGCTTCTGAATGCACATAAATAAATAAGTCAATTTGCACATCCCACTAGGCCACATTACCCTCATAAAGTGGTATGTTTCATTTCAGCTTTGCAGCTTGCAGAAAACCAGCAAAGTTCTTGTATTACGGAGTCACCGACTCACACAATTTGCCATCGCTGTGCTTCCTATAACCGGTCAACTCATCATGCTCACGATCTACGCATCATTGCTTATATTATCAGTTCAATGTTTCTTAATCAGCCCATTATACGAAGCCAAGAACCACCATTCAATTTGTGGACCCAAAGCCGCTGTACCGTAGACAATGTTTTTATATTGTCATTTATTATATTTCTATCCTCTCCTTCAGGAAGTAGAAACACACGGGAATCTTTTCCATTTTCTGCTCCCGACAAGGAAGATCAGATGGCGAGGTTGTGGATTAACTTCACGTTGGGAAGAAGGGAATGGATGCAAATCCCATTAGGGTAGGGAACAACACCCCACCCTTGTTTATTTCCAGTTCCCTCCGGATCCCTTTTCACATTTTGAATCACACCTTTGCTTTTTATTTTTTTTTTAACTGTGGCCCATCCCTGAGCAATCAGATTCATAAGGCACAAGGAAAGAGAGGTACCAAACTACAACTAGGAGGTTTTTCTTAAAAAAGAAAAAAGAAAGACATTCTGCAGCTGCACACAAGATGGTGCTGTAAGCAAGAACACAAGAGAGACGGCCCCATAGCCGTTCGGAGCCTCTGAGACAAAAGAGCTGTGACATCTCAAGAAGATACGTTTGTCAAGGGAAGCGTGTTACACTCCACCATCAAGATGGTCCTCTGTTTGAAAATCTATATATAGCTTCCGAGGGGCATAAAATGAGGATTGCTGAATTCCAAGAGCAATAAAATGCCAAAGAAGAGGGCTATCTGTGCCAATTCAATTAAGGGACCGTTTGCAGCAGCAGTTAATCAGCACAAATGCTATCATGTTAGCGTTGCTAACTTAATTAGCACTTGCGGAAGGACCACTTCATCCAGCTAGAAATCTCTGTCCTATTTTTGCAGAACCCGAAAACTGGGAGAGGCCAGAAAGGAGAGCAACTTTGGTGCCAAAGGGGGCATTTCTTCCTAAGGGCAAATCGATCCTTTCCTTTCCATCCATTCTATGGATCTATGTGTGCCTTACAAAGAATAGCCCTCTGAGCGGCAGATAAAAAGCTCTGGTTAGTAGAAGACCTTGTCTAGGGTGGAGCTCCACTGAGAGCAGTGACCAAGTTCCAGCAGAGAAAGAAGCTTTCGGTTGTTGTTGCTCTACCATCTCATGAAGCTGGATTTCAGAACATCTGCTTCTTGAGAGTAGAACTCAGCAATCTCTAAAATGCTACCAGGTGGGGGTTCAAATCCTGTGTTTCTGAAGCTTTGCAGCTGATGCTGGAAGTGGCAGTTTGGAGCCTTTCGGTTCTTCCAATTCTGGAATCATAACCTTCTCAAGGGGAACATCCACTGGAGAAGTCATCTCAGGAGGGCTACTGGGCTCCAATTCCCCTTTATCTACCCTCTGGGATCAGAAATGGTAGATTTCTCCAAGGACTTGTCCATTTCCGTAATGGTGCTGTTAAGGAGTGGTGGAACCTGACAAAATGCTAGTACTAGAGGAGGAATTTTTTTTGGAGTGGCAGAAGATTCCATTCCCCATCTGATTCTGCTCTGCACAATTAAAAAAAACCCTGCACATTAAGTGAAAAATGGTCTCATTTGAGATGAAGCTAAAATCCAAGGACGAGCATGGTGACGAGTTCAGCAAAAGAGCAAGCAACAAAGACCAACAAAGGGAGGGCAGGTAAACAGATGTTCTAACTACTGTAGACTAAGCCAGAGCTATCACAGCTGCATGAAGCTCAGTGGCAAAACATCAGAGACCTTTGCAGGCTTCCCATGAGGAGGTCCTTCTCATTGCTCATAGGAGTCCCACTTCTTGCTCCTTATGTAGACACTACAGCCATTATTCAACAAGCTGCACCTGTGTTTGGTGAGTCAGGGTGGACGTCCAGCTCAGACTCTTGAAGAGGGATTCCTTGGAATGCAGGTTTGAGGATAACACAGGCTAAACATTCCCAGGAGAAAGGAGGGTCAGATTCAACTCCAAAAATGGAGTCCTTGCAGAGGTAAGTAAGCAGTGATACTCCTGGCCCTACCCTGCTGGTTTCCATGGCTTCTGTAGCGTTGGAAGAGGCCATTGAATCCTGCTTTGTGAAAGAAACAAAGATAACAGACACAGTGAGGGATGACAAAAGATGCTAAAGGATTTACTTGCAAGGGTTTATTCTCTCCTTCCTAGTCCCACCATTGCTTTGCACCCACTAGAAATGCTAGCTTACACTAAATTTCTTTTTTTAAAAAAGGATGGTAGCATTCCTCTATGATTAAGGGCCCGTAGAAGAGGAGGTCAATGTTGCTCTTCCACCCCGAGCCTCCTCTTAGGAATGCTAATGCGAGAGGGAACAAATCATTCTGCAACAGGGCTGTCCATAATTTATTTCGGAGAACCTAGTCTCTGGTCTAGATTGCTCTTGTCAAACAAGATTCAGCTGGGTCTTTAAGACTCAAGGGTCTTTGCTGTTCTTCAAGCTTCATTTGAAATGCTAAGGAGTGGGTGGGAAGGTAATTAAATTCTGTCTCTTCCTTTCACCCAAGACTGTTCTCTGGAGAGGGAAAACTGGAGTCTTCAGATTGTCTCTCCCATGGGAGACAGGCTCTGCTGGAGATATTCCACCATAGCTGGGGTTATTGCCATATTGCAAAGTCGGAGTTCCAGGAGAAGCACAGAAAAAGATGTTCCCTCCTGTCCCATATGGCCTACAAAAGTCCTAGGAATCCTAAACTAATGTCCAAATCCCAGTGCAGGCAGGATTACATTTTGATATGTGATGCCATGAATAGACTGGATGAAGGCAAACAAATTAGAAATTCCTCCAAGCTAGGCAACATTTGTGGCTTGTTGAAAACTAGATTGGAAGGATGCTCCACTTAAGATCTTAGGTCAGAGATTTGGATGTTCTCTGAGATTTGATCCCACTCAATTTTGGTGGTGCCATCTCACATGCTTCAGATGAGTGCATCAAGCAGAGCCATCTGCCCTAGCTAAGATGACCCATATCTTTGATATTAAAAAAAATCAAAATGCTGAGTAGCTGTTGCCCAGGGATTCATTTGCAAGTGTGTCCATGTGTCCAGATAATCAAGATAACAGTAGGGTGGGAATTATGTCTCATTGTGATAAAAGGAACAAGTTTCCAAAACAAGAAAAACCAAAAGAAGACCAGGTTGGAAATACTGCTGTTGAGCATTCATACAACCTATTAGATGAACTGGGATGGAATTATTACCCTGGACAAAGTTGAGGATGAATAGAAGGTCCTCCATATGGTGAGATGTCCAACAACATTTCTGGGAATGCATAAAAAGGAACATGCAGAAAGATTGAGAGTCCCTTCCTTCCTTCCTTCCTTCCTTCCTTCCTTCCTTCCTTCCTTCCTTCCTTCCTAAGAAAGCAACTGACTGA